ATTTAGAAATATGAAGTGCCATATATACTTGTGACCTTTGAAGCCCTAATTCTGAAGCTAATTTGACTACAGTAAATGGATATATAGGTTGGTCAATGGCATAGCCAGGGCCAGCAGTACATATGCTAATTTTATATCTCATGTATGATGCAACCCTCTTAAAATTAACTTTAAAATTAGGTCTTCAAAAGCTGCATGATAGACAAGTATATATGGTAATTTATAACTACCACTGTCCAGAAAGGATATTTACCAAATTAAGATTAGCCTGTTATAGTCAGTTTCTCAGTATTCTTCTAAATTGTGCAGTCTTTGAAATAGTCACACTTGGAATAAGAAATAAAGAATGCAACTTTGAAACAAATATCCCATGACCTAAATAAACAATTATTCCTGCATTATTGGTTATATAATAAGACCTCTTTTGGCTTTGATAAGGATTCACCTTAAAAATCAAAATCTTGTATCTTTGTTTGAGAAACTACTTATGACTTTTATCTTGCAAAAGAAATTTCTCAGTGAAAAAGTAATTTCAGGTCTATCTTATCCTTACTATCAGTCACATGACCAAGTGTGGTTGTAGGGTCACTGAGCAGTTGATTCCCTGACCAATTCTCTCCACATATCTGAGTTGAAAGCCAAAGTATTCATTTTTTTTAGAGTGTGTCATAGAGTTTTGTGCAATGCTGGTGAAACCCATTTTCAGGTTAAATCAATATGTCTTCCAGATTGAAGGTTCACCTTGGTCACTAATATGTGGATGTTGAGTCTATCAAGGGAACCCTCCACTCTGGCCCCTGACCAGTCTAGGAAGCCTTCACTCAGCAATGTCATGTATTCATTGCACTGACTGCATGCATATCTATAGAGCCCAGTCTATTGCATTGTGCAAGATGGCCGTTCACTCTCCAATAAGCTTCATCTAAGATGCCAAGCAAATGCTGTTGGTTTTCAAATCTGTTTATCTTTCTAGTAAATTTTATTTGCTAAGTAACCAATGATTCTCCAGTAAATTTTATTTGCAAAGAAACTAACATTTCTTCAAGTAAATTTTATTTACTAAGTAACCAACAATTCTTCGAGTAAATTTTATTTGCTAAGTAACCAATGACTCTTGATACCAATTTTTCTTCTTTAAAACATTTTTGTTCTTGAAATCTAATCAAGCATCAGTTACAACCAAAGATTTAAGAGTTAAATTTATGGTAGCTATGAGGTAATCTATATATTAGACTAATAATGGGCAACTGAATGACAAAATGGAAGAAACACCAGTGTTACACATTTCATTCTTAGAGACTGAATAAGTCCATTTGAAGAATGTAACATTTAATATAGAAATATTCACACAAAAATCAGTGACTCTTTATCCCTGGATCATATTTTATATTTATACCACAAGGTACATTTCTTCAGTTAGATTGATTTGGTTTTGGTTTTTTATGGCTTATCAACTTTTTTGCAGCTTATTTACACCCAAGAAATATTTTTTTAGACTGTGAGGATTTTTTTGCCGATTACAATAATTTTCTGATACAAAAACTCCTAATTAACTGATACCTGAGGGGTAGAAGAGGTAAATTCATACCTTTCCCAAGAGCATTTGTGTACAAGTGAACATAACAAACCTGACTGGAATTGGAACTTGACTCTCCAATTTCCAATTGTAAGCCTTTATCCATGACCACCAGGTATTCTCAAGAGGTTACCCATCTAAATACTGTCCAGGCTTGATGTTGATTAACTTCAAGAGCATATGAGAAGCAGTGTTTCAACATGATATGGACATAAGCCTTTTCATTTAAGAATTTAATATGAATGCCAGATGTCATGCACATGTTTTTTTTAACAAACTGATTAGAAGAGGTACAACAAATTAATATAGAAATTACTAGAATTTTTGGTTTAAAAACTTCATTTTGGTTCTGTGTATTCTCACTTGAAACTGTTAAGTAGCATTGTTCATGGTTTAATGGGTCAGTTTAATCTACAGTTGATTCTACAAGTTTTAATTATAAGACAAATATGTTTCTATTTCATATTCAGAACAGTGGGATTATCAAAAATTTTAAATTGAAACATGAATGGGAGTAAAACACCACCATATTACCAACTGTTTGCATTTGGCAGGATTAGCTAAAGATAAACCAGAAGCAAACCATTCATAAATTGTAGAATGTCATTATTATTTTCAGGGATATCCAATGCTTTTATTTTTGATTGATTGGTATGTTTTCTATGGCTTATCCACCCTTTGCAAATTATTCAAATTCAGAAAATATTTTTACACTGTAAGAATTTTTTTTTTTGAGATAATAATAGTTTAGTGATACAAGTTTTACTAATTAACCTATAGTTAGGGAGAGAAGAGGTGGATTCATACCTTTCCCAAGGGTATTTGTGAGTAAGTGAATAAAACTAACCTAACTGAAATTGGAACTCAGCTCTCCAATTAACAATTCCGAGCCATTATCTATTACACCACCCACGCATCTAAGCTTACAGCCCCTGATATTCCAAAATGGTCACCCATCTAGGTACTGACCAAATTTGACATTGCTTAACTTCACTAATCATATGGAATCAGTGTTTCAACATTATCTCACTCTAAACCATGATGCTTTTAGAAACTGTATGATAATCTAATGATAATTTATATTAACGGAGCATGAATTTTGATAAAGTCTATACATATTTAATAATTTTGGAAAGCTTAAAATAAAAGGTGGAGTATTGGTATTGGTGAGGAGAAAATAACATTATAAAATGATAGAAAATAAACGAGAATTTCAAAATAAAAATCTATTATACATTTTTTACTTAAATGAGAGACAGTGTAGAATTAATTTTGTTTTACCTTCCAAAATGAATAAAAAAAAAATATACAAAAACAGAAGACAGAAACCTTATCATTTAGAATTTGTAAGTCTTTTCAATATCTGATGCTGCGAGATTGAAAAAGAGAAAAAGAAAATGACAAGCAGTTACAGATCCTAAGGAACACCCACTCTATGACTAACAGACAAGCTGATTGGTCAATATCAATGAAGGGTTACAGCCAATTCCTGCTGTAAATTTGAGACCAACCAATCACAACCAGGAAAAACCCAAAACATTGCCGTCACAGTGTGCAGTGAGTCAGCAAGACATAGGCCTATTGAATACCCGGAAGAAACAAAAGGAGGGAAAAGAAGGAATGCCAAATTTATTACAGAAGGACACTGTATTTTATATAGGGGCTGGAGAAATCTGACCTATCCCAGATTTCAGAATAAATTCACTTAGACTGATTAAAATTACTAAGATTTAAACTTATTTTTTGAGGTATATAACAGTGTGTTAATGATGAAATAGTTTCTTTTCAAAGATGAAAAGCAGACTACAGTTGATTCCCAATTGTTGTAGTAGTGGCAATAGTAGTCAGCTGCAGCAGCAGCAGAAACAAAATAAGCATATGGAATACCTGAATAGAACATAAGATGAGTCACACATGGAGGATACTCAATGAAAAATGTTTTCCAATAATCAAGCTGGATTTACTACAATCATGTTCCCTAAACACAGCCAATAGAAATTCAGTCTATAGAGAAAACCAGGTTCTTAAATTCTGAAAGGCTTAAAGTTGAAACTGCCAAAGGAGGTGATTTCACCAGTTTAACCCTTTATATTTCTAAGAGTAAAAACTTTGTATTTAAAGCTAACAGCGAAATCATCCTTTTTGGGTTGGGTAATAATTACAAGACAATCAAGCTTACTAAATTTTGACTCACCTTGCTTATTAAAGAATAGTTTAATGAGAAATTTGTGTTAAAGCTCTTCTTAATAAATAAAGATCTATGTTAAAGAAAGTAGTATATGTATTCTATTGGCAATATCTTTTCCTTCTTTTTGTGTTTTTGAAAAACATTTTTATGTTAAATTTTTAAAGATAACTAATGTTTATTTTTAAATTAGAAATTTTAAACAACATCAAATCTGACTTCAGTAGATATAATTTTTATTGCCTAAAAATTAAAACATTCTTAAACTCTTCTAATATCTTAATTATTTACCCATTATAAAGTGTACCAGATTCACAAAATTAGAAAATTAATACAAATAATCTCGATAAAACTAGACACATAATTCTATCTTGCGACTCAATAATGAATGCAATTGAAAATAATTTATCTTTTATATAAAATTTGTTACAAATACTTTGAAAGCAGGAAGAGATTTAACAATACAAAACAAAATAATAACCTAATAAAAACTTGAAGCTGGTATTTACAAAATAGACTGCAAAAAAGAAAATGTCACACAAAATATAAAGATAATAAATAAAGCTTATATGAACATAAAAAAAAAAATCATTAACCAAACCATATCTTCAATGAGTTAGTTGTTCATCATAATAAGTTTGATTATAATTTTGACTTAACCAATACAGTTTTAATTAAAAAAGAAAATAATTTATCAAGGTGAAAATGTATCGAAAGTGAACAAATTTCAGAGTCTTCCATAATAAATTTACATCCAGGATTGTATAACATATCTCCTTTTGTAACCTACTGCCATTACAATGTGGGATATTTAAAAACAATAGCAATAGAAATAAAAGCAGTAGAAAGCTAGCTGATACACTGGACACTAAAAAAGTAAAATTAAAATTATAAAGTTAAGCATCATTGAATCAACAACATTTTTCTCAATGTAGAACTGTAACCAGAATTTGTTATATTTTGTTCCCTCCCACTATATATATATAATTACATATATAAAAATATTTATTTTTTACAATTTATCAACCTTTTGCTGATTATTGTAAGAATTTTTTTGGAAATGATGATTTTCTGATAAAAGTCCTATTTTTTAACTCATAGCTGGGGGAGAAGAGGTGGATTCATACTTTTCCAAAGGGTATTATTTGAACATAAATGAATAGAACAAATTAGAATTGAAACTCGGCTCTCTGATTTCCCATTCTGTGCTGTTATTCATTACACCACTCACACATCCAGGCTTACAGCACCTGGCATTCCCAAGTGGTCACCCATATAAGTACTGTTCAGGCTCGATGTTGTTTAACTTTGGTGACTGGATCAGAACTGGTGTTTCATTATGATATGGAAGCTTAAAAATATTATGAGTTTGAAGAAGTCCTTTTGAAGGCTGAAATATGTAACATAGGACTTTTCACTATGAAAACAATTATGAAATCTAATTTGAAACTTTTAATTAAAAAATAAAAGACAATGATATTCTTGTGACACTGCTAATATACAGGGTGCAATAAGTAAATTGTCACCATTTTATATTTTTAATTTCAGGCATGTGCATTGTTTGCTTTTAATTTTGTTGACTGCACAGTATAGTAGGGTCAGTTGGGCACTGTCTGTGAGAAAAAGATGCAATTCAAATATACCAGAATTTTGGAAACAAAATATGCTGTACTGCTTGGCATTCATGCCAAGTTGTATATTATTATATAATTTCAGAGTGTTTGGGTGTCAATCATTGACAGTGCAGAGGATTTGTGTTGTGCCATATACCTATTCTATTGTAATGGATCTCCCATAGATAATTTTTAATTTTCATTTATATTTTTTAGTTTGGCATGTGATTTTGTTGAAACGTGTCAGTTTTAGTTCCGACATTTGAAGTACCAATCATCACAAAAAAGAGCACCATGATGTTCATTGACTCTTATTTTCCAAAACCCTAACATGCTTGTACTGGATTGGGACCATGTTTAGGACAACAATATGAACATTTCAGAGTGTTTGGTGTCAAAATGAGGACAGTGCAATTTGGAAAAGAGTTGGATGAGTCTAATGGTGATTATGAAGGTAAAAAAAACTTGAAAAACTCATCTAATCATTCTGAAGAAATTCATTTCCCAATGAGGGCCTCAGACTCTACATGGAGGCCTACATCAAGTGCCTTTAGGAGATAGTGCTGCTCTGAGTCAAGAGGGTGGCTGCTGGAAGACCTTGTCTGGCAACAGGACTCTGCACCATGCCACACAAGCAGGAGAACCCAGTCATGGCTGTCAGACAATTTCTGTAACCACATCACCCCTTACATCTGGCCACCTAACTTCTCAGACTTCAACCCACTTGATTATTATGTGTGGGATGCAGTTGAATGAGAGACCAACAAAACTCCTTGTAATACCAAAAATGAACTGAAGGCAAGGATTATGGTAGTATTCACCAACTTATACAAGGAGACTGTCCAGAAGAGTTGCAGGAGGTTCTGAAATCATCTGGAGGCCATGGTTGAAGGCAAATGGTGATTTTATTGAATAAATGGTATTTCAAGATATATTAAAATGATATGTTAGTGTTATTTTCATTTTTGCATAATTTAGATGACAATTTATTCATTGCATCCTGTATTAGAAGCTTCATACTACAGATAACTATTGAAAAATACATATTAAACAGGCAAGTTGTATTTTTGAAAGAAAATATGTTATAGCCTATAAGATAACCGCATTTACAAAGTAATATGAACAAAATACCTTAGGCTTGTGTTAGTTTGTTCCTTACTCCAATTTAAAATTTAATTACTTTGAGTTTTCAAAAAAACCAAAGACAATTGTAAGCCAACATCATATCAAAAATAATCGTTTCTACAGGTCAAATTATTTGCTTTTCCATTTTTTTTTTTTTTTTTTACAGCAGTTGAAACTCTCTCTTTCTTAAAAATCAAAAGTGAGGTCTCCTCAGAGAGTTATTAGTCTTTTTCATGATTTATTGATCTGTAAATAAAGTTCTTTGTCAAACTTTTATCAGCTTGATGAGATTGTATTACATTCTTTTCATTGGCAAATTTCTTCATGCACATTTCACTTAAAACTTGTTACCGTTTATTTTTCTGAATTCATATAAAGATCTATTTGTTCTTAAGTCATTTATTTTATTTCTATTTTAATCAACAAGGGAAAAAATTCTGTTGTGATTCCAGCAAATTAATTTCCCTGAAATTCTAAAATCTCCAAATACTGGACATTAATAATTTTGATGCTTAAACCCCTTGATCTTATGTGTAAAAATATGTTAAATTCATTATGAAGTCAAAATCATCATTATCCATCCTAAGGGATGCTGACGGTTTATTGCAAGAAGGGGCAGCATGAATGTGAATAGGTGATGTCAATCCTACTGACATCCGCTCCAGAATTCAGCAGTAGTGAAGGGTCCAGGAAGGCTGATGAAGGGTCAGTTGCAGTGAATGTCCAGACCAAATAATACTCTTCTTGCACTTCACAGCACCAATTTGAAGTCACTTTTCCTTTTCCTAGACCGAATGCCATCCCAGGCAAGAGAACTCAATCTGATCTGCTATTTAACGTATTGCTAGGAAAATATGAATTCATGCCTTTTCTAAAAGTAACTCTGGACTGTTATGTAATATCTGGCTTCTTATATTCCAGTGAATGCTGAACAATCTCCTCAAAGATGAAGAAGAGACTTAAGGCAACAGAAATGTGATTCTACAGAAGGATGCTGAGAATGTCATGGATTGAACACATGAGCAACAAAGATTTCAGGAAAATTTAAACAAAAAGGACACATATTTAACACCAGGAAGAGATAGTTGAAATTTCTAAGGCACATAATGAGGAAAGAGGTCTTGGAAAATTTGATAATCACAGGACAGATTGACAGCAAGTGGGATAAAGGAAAGTAGCAAATAAGCTACCTAGTGAGCTTGTATAAATGGTTGGCTGAACAGGGATTAGGAGATATTGCAAAAAGAAAAACATTGCTAAGAGTGACAAGGGACAGGAAGTTGTGGAGAACCATGATCGTCCATATTTTGAAGAGTTACAGTACAAAGAAGAAGAAGAAGAGGTTAACCTCAAGATATTATTATTTTATTTTCTTATTGTTGATAACTTTTACCTTTTCATACAAAATAAGCAATTTACAGCTTCTCTTTGGCATATTCCCCTTGCTGACATCATCACAATTAATTTAGGACTATTATCAAGTAGATGGGCATAGGGGACTCTAGATAGAGGTAGTACCTTTGATCTCTGGCATGTCGCACCTTTGGGTGGATAGGCATCACTGGTCCTCAACCATCTTCTAAATCTTTCATGTGATGGCTCGAGGTTGCCATGACGTGGTAATCCATTTCAGCTGGCAGGTAAACTCATGTAAGAGTGTAATGTTCACATGGCAGCACTAGGTGATAGACCACTTCAACACAGGTCATTGGCCAGGGTGGAAGGATTCCTTAGATGAACTACCACGGCCAAGATGAGCTACCTGGATGGAGGACATCAGCTGTAGTCTAACCTGGAGAGGGATGGACTCTGCCAGGTTAAAATGCTCAAGACATGACATGTGATTAACAAAGCAAGAAACTATTTGTGAAGACTTAGGCTCTGGCACACAACTGCAACAGATGTAGAAGAATGGTGGACAGCTCAGCATGTTGGCATCCCAACAACTAAGGGTCAAAGAAGAAGAATCAAGTAGAACTTATTTGTTGTTTATTTCTGAGGTTGACCAAGGATAACTGAAACTACAAACAAGTTTATGGAGAGGCATTATTTATATAATTGAGTATTTGCTGGGTTTATTACAAACTAGCCAATCATAAAATAAAACAACTTTTATATATTGCCCTGTCAGGGCACCTCAAAATATGAAATTTGGTTATATTGAAAACTTGCTAGAACAATTATGAGCGAGTAGTGAGTTTATTCTTCACTGGGTGCACCCTACTTTTGCCCTTGTGCCATATCAAAGCTATGCTTGGAAAATTGCTATATTGCCCTGTCAGGAATATAAACTTAATAGAAACTGTAAATGAATATTATTTTTCTAATATTTATATGGATCCCTTTGAAAGCCATCATCTTTTTTCAGAATTCATCTTCATAAAATGTTGTTTGAGAAGATATGTCAATCTTTTATTTCAATAGAACTGAAAAGACATATTCAGCAGTTCTTTCAAGTGACAATGCTTTCAAAAAGATTCTTATTTACCCAATCACAATCTGTTAGTTTAGATTTGTGCACAGCAGGATTTGGCATGTTTTTAAAAATCAATTCTCTGCTCTTACTTTTCACCAGCATGAGGGATAAAAATTTAATACCAGAAAAGGAGTTAGAGAAACCTGCTTTCTTCTATTTAGATTGACATTTGTGTCTAAAACTAAAACTTTTCAGAGTAAGAGATATTTTTATATGAAATTTCATGAGTTCACATTTTTATTTCCATTTTTAACCATTGTTCTCACAGCTGACATAGACTGAACTTTAAAACACCCAACTAGTTAATTTATTCCTTGTAATTTGTTGAAAGAAATAGGGGAGATAACACACTTTGAACCAAAGAAATTGCAAGATAAGGGAAAAAAAAACATCTTTTTATTTCATGATTACATTTAACTGCTCTCAAATTTAGTTTAGAATTAACAAAAATACATGAAATGATCAAAAGACAGTTAAGGATTTCTAAATACTAATTTAATCAGGGTCAAAAAATGGAGTCTGGTAAATATAAAATATGATGACACTCATCCCAAGTTTATAATAATTAAAGAAATGCTATCAAAAGAAAAAAATATCTAAATATATATAAAAAATACAATTTCCTTCTGAATTAACCAATACCTTTTTAGAATAAAGATTTTACAATACTGAGGAATCAATCAACCCTGTTATACAAAATATCAGCACCTTAAAAATATGACAGGAAAATTTTGTTAAAAACTAAGAAAATAATGCTGAACGGCAATATGATATCAATCTTCCTATATGACAGTGAATGCAGGACAATTTCCTCGCAGATGAAGAGAAAACTGGTGGCAACAGAAATATGGTTCTTTAGAAGGATACTGAGAAAACCATAAACAGAACATGTGAGCAACGAGGAAGTTTTAAGGAAAAATGAAAACAGAAAAAGTCACTTGTACTTAGAAAGAGACAGTTGAAGATCTGAGGAAAGAAGACTTGAAAAATTTGATACAGGGCATATTGAAGCTGAAGTGGGTAAACAGCAAATAACCTACTGAATATAGTTGTGTAAATGAATGACAGAGACTAGGAGGGATAGTTAAAAAACCATAGGGCTACAAATGACAGGAATTTGTAGAGAGTCATTAA